TTTCCTACTCTCTCGGAGTTATCAAGTCCGTATTGGGGACGTTTTATCCAGTCCATAACCGGTCACCAGCGGTGTGCCTCAAGGCGTAGTACTGTCACCACTGCTATTTTTGGTATACACCTGCGACCTGCCCAGCTCGCTATCTAGCTTTGGGGTGACCTGTTTGATGTATGCCGATGACATCAAGATTAATAAGGTCGTTAGTAACTTGGAAGATTCTGGCGAACTACAAGCGGCAATTGATAGTGTAGAGTCCTGATCCGTCAGATAGGATTTGCCATCGTGAACTGTGCCTTTAATGGAGCTTATACCATTTTCTTATTTGTGTCAAACAATTACTGGCTTGTCAGGATTTCTTCAAAATACTGGGCATAATCATTGTTGCTCCCTGTGATATTGGTTGCTGTGCTAAAGGATCAGCGTGTTTGGGTACAGCCTAGCTTTCGTTCTTCATAGCGAACGTAACATCGATATCTTCGTCCCTGGAACTCAAGGTCTTCAGAGTGCCGCTCCTGTGTTTGCACCAAACTTCTACGGATCAGGCTTCCCTTCTGTTCAATATAGTCTGTAACTTGATAATCTCTGCATCTCTTTTTTGTCTATATGCATGCCTGTTTTTTGGCAGAGCATAAGGTTCCTCAAATTGGAATATGATGTTCCAGTTACATTAGCACCAAACACTATCTAGTGTATAATGGAGTCATAAACGGTTTACCATGGTAAAGGCTTCCTTCCGAGAAGCATATTTCCTCCGAAAGAATGCGCTCGCTATATGAAACTATTATTTACATATTGTATGTATCATAATAAAGGCGCAGAGCATTATGAAAAAGAATTGTAGCATCAAGAACGAAGTCACATAATCAGGTACAAACAAGCAGGAAAATATGAGAAGGAATAGAATGAACGAAGAAGGTGAACATGTAGAAGTTACTAATTGTCTCCAGAGATAATTTTTAAACAGCAACTTTATAACATTGACTATAGGAACTAGATTCCTTACAGACTGACGTTTTTACACGATCTCGCCTACTTTGCCTTCTCGTCGTTCTTCGTCATCACTGGTGTTGTGTTCATCGGCAGATCAGAGATGAGTGGAAGCTCTTCATCATATATCATAAACAACGTTGACCGCGTTTTAGATGTTTCGTGCCATTTCCAACAGATTACCATTACCACCAGTGCAATTTTCTACAACTCAACATTGGCTCTTCAAGTAGGAAACTTGGCAATTGTATGATAACCAATAAGAATAATATCATACCATTATACAATGCTGTTTGTGGTGATATTACGGAGTGGGTTAATTATTTTGGTTAATGTTGAAGGATATAGCGCGAAAACCAACCGTGAGTAAAAAGTAGCTGTAGATTACTAGATACGAAGGATGATCTTCTAGCAAACCAAACGACTGGAAAAAGCGAAGATGAAGGTGAGTAAATCCTAGGGAGAGTAACAAGATCAAATTCATTCGAAGTAATCACTTCGTTTCTGTGAAGTCGCTTGACTTTTAGTATATAGGGACGAGCTTCATCTAACAATGGACTTGCTTCACACTTCTCTTGAACCAAAAGAGCAGCCAAGAAACTTTCTGCACTTTCAACTCATCTGTGACCACCACAATGAAATTTTAACAAATTGAGCTATTCTTAAACACGAAAACAATAACTCCGGATCTTCTTGTAAACAAAATAATAGCCTATGAGGAACGACTGGGGCAATACTGACGACGGAGACCTTTTGCCTACAGTTGGCGAGTGTCTTCAGATCCATTTTATCGTCACTGTAATTCCATAAGTTATGTTTTTGCACTCGCAAGCGAGTTCAGTGTTTCTGATGTTTTTCAAGCATGTACTTCCCGAGGAACATAGTTATGCTTCACACCTTTTCCTATTAGATGTTTTCCAATTACTACTGGTGAATTTGCTCATTTCACAAATGTATAACAAATTTCGTCAAAGGATGAAGCGAGATCATCATCTTTCGCACTGTGTGGGTTGCATCCTTCTCATAAGAACCAGCGACACAGGTAATTCCAAAGCGGCGACAATGTTTGCTGTAACTCTACATGCTCCTATCGGTATAATCACTCGGGAGCACCAACGATCGAATTTGACCATGCGAAGCAACGTCGGAAAGCTGCGTTGAGTGTTTTTGTATGCGAGGATCATTTGCGTTGCACTAGTTTCTACCACTTTCTCTTTGCATGCCCTCGGGAAAAATTATTTTTTTTGAGAGGTGTAAGGTGTAGAAGAAAGCGCTCCTTCCTATCATCTCTTTCACAAGATTGGTGTTTGGCTTTCTATTCAGCTATTTTTGCTCCCTATGTTTATATGGAAGAGCCATTTCTCTCCCAACGCGGTGAGGGAATTGCAAGAATTAAACCTGTGGCGTATCATGTTTTGATCTAAACCCGAAGTGCATCATATTCTGGTCGGGACTCACAAACTGTTGAACATTAAGGAACGTCTCAGCAGGCGTATTCCAATAATCGCAATATTGCTGCAAGTTTTTTCGTTGCTGCCGCCAACACTGCTTTTTTCAATGCCAATGAAACCCTCGAGAAGTTTTCGCAAAAAAGGTTCCGATTCTCCTCTTTCGGTCAGAGCTCTGAGATATCCCCAGGTACGCTCACCTCCTTGCTGTTCCACTCCATTAATCATACAAAAGTGATTTTATTTCTTAGGAACTACAGGTTTGAACAATAGCCCCTCTCCGATAACGAAGCTATACAACTGTTGTGTACTTACCTCCAGTGCTTTACATAAGGTTGTATAGACTCCGTCAATATTGTTACCGCTCATCAGGACCAGCTCTAGAAGAATAAAGAGGCAACCCACATGAAAACTTTTATTTTGTTTTCACAAAAGTACAAACAGATCTACCAGAAAAATTCAGTAATCATTATCAGGGGATTACAAGGCTGGAGTTATGGGGAAAGCTGTATCTGTGATAACATTGCATTACAAGTTGAGCCAAACTATTCACAAAAGGGTTTCAAATTTTCTTGAAGCCCTGAAAA